TTCGATCTGAAACATATAACAATAAAAATATGAGACATTATTTACTTTTTATTACCAAAAATATAAATATAAATGAAAATTTATTATTTTTATTATCATTATTTTATTTATATATAAAAAACATAAAAATAATTAATGTTTATATACTTTTATAATAAATAAATTATTATTTAACAATTTTTTTATTAATGGTTAGGGTAAAATGAATAAACAAAAAGCTTTTTATTTTAAACTACAAATTCATGTCTCTTGATCAGATCGACACACATCGTAAAATAAAAAATACATGCGTAACAAATAAATTGTTGATCCCAGTTTATTTCAATAATGGTCATCATTGTTATTACTGTTGGTTTTGCCAGCGTATTTTTTCGTGAAACACAATCTCGACTACATTAAAAAAGTTTCCACAAACATTACTGCGGGGGATCCAACCAATATTACGTAAAAGAAAAAACAAAGAATAATTTTATCAAACAGTATTACACATGTCCCAAAGATTATGATAATGTCGCCGAAGAGGTTGCAAACAAAGGTAATTTTCAACAAATATGTGTTTTTGTAAAAAATGGCTGCGGTGAAATATTTGAAAAGGATTTTGGTAAAAGAAAAAAAGACCCTGCATTTTATAAACACACAAAGACTCAGAACATTGATCTAATTTTTTGTGATAACTTGGGAACACAAAATCCAGAATATCATGAAAATGGGTGTAAAATATTCGAAGAATGTCCAACAGAAATTATTCAAAACAAAAAAATAATAGAGACTGAAATGAAATTTGATTATATTAACGATGATGACATTGATTCGTTAATTTTAATAATAAAACAAACACGTGACTGGTCTTTAACCGCTAATTTGTTGCGAGAAATAGCAACATCAAAAACAAAAGACAAATCAAACGAAGTGACAAAACAATCACAATTATTTTCACTATTTGTTCGAAGATTGCGAATTGTTGAGTGTTTTTCAAAGAAACAATGTGAGTTTATAAAAGGAATGATTGAATTATTTGGAAAAACATTTTTTGGTGAAAATGTTTTTGAACAGATAAAAGTCAAAATAAGTTATTCAAGTTGTGTGGAACTATCTTTAAAATATCAAGATAGAGATATAAAAGAAACTAAAAAATGTTTTAGTGATTGTGTGTTATGGTTGCATTTTGGACTCAACCAGAAAAGGTGGTGATGAAATATTTTGAATGATATGTCGTTTCGTTTTCTTTGATTTTACTATAATTCAAAAGAAAGTCAAACTTGGTATTTTTCGTGGTTCAACAAACGCGGTAAATACGTTTGAATTGATTAAAAATGTGATAGAAACGGAATATCTCGGGGTGTTATCAAAATGTGTTGCTTTTGTTTCTGAAGGTGCGATAGTTTTGACAAGTATGCAAGAAGGAGTTGCTGGCTATCTGAGCCGTTATATATCAAGCATAAAAGTTGAATCTAAATTTCCAATTGTTGCCAATTTTTTCTCTCATAATTATTGTCTGTGTCATAGATTAAATGTAGCCGAGAAATGGATGTGGATACATCAAAAAGATGCATCAATAATTTTGGAAATATTGAAATGGATAACAAATGAAAGTTTAATTACTAAATGGAACTACTATTGTTATGAACATTCTGGAAACGTAAAATTACCAAAACTT